TTGGTGTGGTGGGGGTGCATTGAGGGACAAAGGAGGATCACTGGTAATATTGTTTCTTTGTCTTTTGGTGTATTCCCATCCCGCTGTGCCGCGGGTGTCCTGTGGTAGCTTTCTCGCATTTAGGTATAATCAATGTGTACTGTAGTTTTAAATTTTATTTTCTCTATTCTTCTATATTTTACTTAGTTTTAATTACGGATTTTATAATTATTGATTGTAAATTGGTACTGTTGAAAAGCCCGAAAGGGAATGCTAATAAAGTATGTATGTATGTATATTGACGAACTACTTCCTTGTTGCTTATGTACATAATCAAACAATATATTTTCAATGACTAAGACATCAGCAAACATCGATGATCCTTGCACGGCTCAAGCCGTGAACCACATTCATTGGTGATTTGGTTTGCATGATAGCAAAGACGTCCCTAGAGACTAAGGTTTAGGGATGGAAAAGGTAGACAGATATGACGGTAAATAAAAAGCCAAGCCAAATTCAGTGCAAAATAGTTGTCACAGCTACTTCAGCCCGATTTATATACAGATGGGAAGGTTTGGTGGATCTACAGGAGGCTGCTTCGCATTTTGGGGTAGGTATACTAGAAACTACTTAATTTAAGATAAAACCCTAACTTAATTTGATGGGGCAAAAACACTCAACGTGTGACGGCTCCGTTTAGGAACCCAGCTACTGCCGCGATGGCATGATGATGGTAAAAAAATTGCTGGATACCTACGCACAGACCCTTACTCTTGTGACTGAAATCATCATCGTGACGATAAACAACATGAAATCTTGATGTTCTATGTTTTTGATGGTTTATCAGCTATTTTAAAACTGATGTATTTTCTCATAATTTTACTGACTCAGTAAATAAGAAACATCTGTGAAGATCGATTTGGATAAGCAGAACTCGTGGAGTCAGGGCTCAGTAGAGTCGAGGGCTAGGGCCTTACACCGTATCTTCGTATCCGTAGTTAATAGACTAACTATGTCGTATCTTACTGAATCTCTCTACATTATCAGCATAACGTATTTCTCTCTCTCTCTCTCTTTCTCTCTCTCTAGGACATCTATCACGAATAACTGAACAGTCAGGATGTTATCTCACACGAGGCTTTTTTGCTGGGTTCTCGGCTTGTTGCTTTTTCACTTCGTGGGTAAGTATACGCCTTGAAAACAGTTAGCAATGTCACGATGAAGCTGAACTATAAATAGAATCTTTTCAAGGAATTAAATGTCTAAGGGTGGTTAGCGATGACTCTTCAAAGTATTATTTCGGCCTTTCGTGCGGGTTTYGTTAAAAACGATGACGTACCTCCGCATTGTCACTATGGAAACTCAGGATTGTTGTTTGTCGTAAACAACACGTTCCATAACAGAACATGTACGTAACTGTCATTCTAAGTGCTTTTTCTTGATGAAGTTCCATCTGTTGACATTTAGTGATCAGTGATAAAAAGAAAATGAAAAATGTTAATTAACAGTGGTTTCACAAATTGGCTCTTCTTCCTGTTCTTCCACTGGACAAGTCCTGAATTTCGATACTGAGATCATTAGGTGTGTAATTCGAAAATGCACGTGGTCTAAACTATATATGCAGCTAAATAAGAGAGAAATGAAAGATTTCCGCGCATTTTGTGTACAACTAGACTGATTCCATAAGTGGTAGTTTTCGCTCCTTTAAGGCCCGTTGTGGGCTAACTAGTGACGGTGTGTGAGTGATATCCAGAATAGACAACACCGACTTATGGAACTGATCAGTCTAGTGCCACAACGTTTTACAAGTAATTCAAGGAGTTTCGGTTATTGACTAACCGATATAGCAATTAATCATATATTAGTCAGATTTATTTTGATGATCAAGAGTCAGCTGCATGCATTTCGCTAAATTTTGAGATAGGGTTGCAGGACAGTTATGTAAGGCACAATTCACCGCGTAACCTCTTCAATGATGCACACCAGTTTCAGGTTCTCCGTAATATTTAATCGGCATTAAACCAAGCTAAGTTCAGTGTACTACTTATCAATATACACCCCCCCTTCTTAGCTTTCTATACAATCCCTCTATCAAAAGTGTCATAAAACGCGCGTTGACTAATCGATACAACGTTTTCATTCTGCTTTAGTTGCAGTGAATGYATTCATCGATTCAACAGCAGCCGTCTTTGCGTCAACTGCTGGTGGAGGAGGCTCGTTCATTATTTTCGTCTGCATCATTTACTACTGCTGTTGTGGAACTGACAATACGGTTAATCCTGTATAAAAAGCGGTTACGTTAGTTCAATCTAGGATCACTTGAAGCCCGTGTATTAAGGGTGCATTCTGATCAGTTTTTTAGAAGGGGGACGGGGCCAGAGGAATAGTTTTAGTAGCATGCGTGCCCGATGTGCTAGCCCTCCCGGCTTAGTCGTTTTGAAATTTTAAAGTGGCCCCCAATTCCTAACCGAACAAAAACTGAATTGCAAAAATGCAAGAAAAAAATATTATACTAGAAAAATCAGTGACATCCTTTTTTCAATTGTAAATATTTGATGCCCGTCTTAATTCCCCGGCCGCTCCCCCTCCTCTCTAAAAGATAAGAAGTATATCAGTGTGTCTTGCTTTTACGAAAGAAATAAAGCTGTAATTGTCATACATTTTCCCTGGGGACCATGACAATCACCATTGTGAATTGAAAGTTATAGAAAGAAATGTGAAAAGTTTAAGATTAAAGAGTAAAAAAATAACACATTTGGGAAACATTGTGTATGTTTGGGCTACGTGTTTCGTCCGAGATTAGTTTGCTATGCCTATTATGTAGTCTCCCTCGCATCCGCTTTTAGTGTCGTTGCGTGAAGACCGACACTAAAAACGGATGCGAGGGAGACTATACCACCTATTATGAAGCTCTGTATAGTATGTACAAGGCCTACTGACAAGATTTGATTGATAGGGGTATTGGATGGGTCCGAGTGACTATAAAGGCATGTAAGAGTGACTTAGTTACAACAAACTACCAATAGCGTACTAAAAAGGTCGATAAAATATAGATGATAGGTCACATGATGTTACGCAGTGTCACTATAACCTTACATGTCACTAAAGCAGGTCGTCACCATGGTGTTACGAACACAGTACCCATAATATACTAATCTGGCACCGAATTGGAGTAAACGAACACTTGGTGGGTCACGTAATGTAACTAACTTTAAATGTCACTAAAGCAGGGCCCGCTTGTACGAAGCCTGGATAGCGCTATCCGACGGATAAATCTTATACAGTAGATAAATTTATTGTAAAACCTGAGCATCGACTTATCCACTGGATAAGAAAATATCCGCCGGGCAGCGCTATCCAGGCTTCGTACAACCGGACCCGCAGGTTGTTAACGTGGTATTACGAACACCCATAATATACTGGTCTGACACCGTATTGAGTAAAAAACACGCAATGGGTCATGTGATGTCACGTAGTGTCATTATTACGAGCCATATAAAGCAGGGTAGTAATTCATGTTCTAGAAAATTAAGCAGGTCGTCGTCAACATGGTGTTACGAACACAGTACCCATAATAAACTAAGGGTAAAAAAAACACGTGATGGATCACGTGACGTTACGCAATGTCACTAACCTTACATGTCATAATGCAGGTTGTTATCATGCATGGTGTTCAAACATAGTACCCATGATATACTATACCACCAATCTGACGCCGCAAAGAGCAAAAAACACGTGATTGGTCACATGACGGGCACGTAGTGTCGCTAACCTTACTAGTCATAAAGCAGGTCGTTGCCATGGTGTTACAAGCACAGTACCCAATGTAATATACATACTAGTAATCTGAAACTGTGAAGAGTACAAAATAGGTGATGGGTCACGTGACGTTAAAGCAGTTAGTTTTCATGGTGTTTCAAATTAACAAAGTATAAACTAAAGAAAAGTACAACATGTGATATGCCCATGGGTATACACGTAGAACAGATCACGTGTCTGTATGTAGTCCTATCGTGTTTATATGATTATAAAAATATAAACTCAAACATTGCAGGTGGTGAGTATGTCGTGTAGCCGGGCAATGAAGATGGTCACTACCACGAGGGTTTCTTACGTCCTCAATGGTTCTTGAACGATTACGTGTCCCACCGCTATTGGTTAGTGATGACGTTCGATCATATAGTAGAGACGGGACCGCAGTTTGGTCATACTTGAAGTCCATATCTCTATGGTTGTACGAACGAAACTTTATTAAATATGAATGTATGAAGTATRAAAGTATGGAGTTTTTTCTTCCTGAAATATGACACCATCCTGCGTATCGTTATCACACAAACGTTATTATATAGATACAAAATGTGTGCCGGTCAAAACTAAATTGCTGAGAATGTATTAAAACGAGATAAGATATTGATCTTCAATCTATATTATTCCAGRAAGAAAAACTTTGCGGAGATAACATGTAATGACAAAACGCAATCTTTTAGCGATCTCCAAAACAACTGACAAGTTACTCTTTGCTTTTGGTTGTTCTGATTCCTAATATTTCAGCCAGAAATTATTTAGTTTCAGATTTTTCCCCATTTTTATTATTTGTGAGTGTCTTTTTCATCATCATCACCAATCCGATTTCCTTGTTAAAAATTAAGCTTTTTCGTTGTGTTCCAAGCTATTCTAATAAAACAAAGCTATACCTCACTTATTATTGTTTCRAGCTTTAGATTGAATTCACAGCTTCCGACTCCGTCGGCGCTTCTGCTATTTCCTATTGTTTCCTTGGACATTTAGCATGTGTTTTGGCGGTATCTTTTATGTACAAACTCTAATATAACACAATACATTAATACATGTTTTAGAGACAAAGGTTCGAGAGTTGCACCTAAATAAATATATGGCGAAATTAAGGGCCGACTGCTTTTGCATCTATGAGCGTGATGATACTTTTACTTAGGTCGTGTACTTTGGATTTTGTTCGTAGAAGAGTAGTTTTTAAAGTTTTATATCTTTCGTAGTTTACTCCCATTGTTTCGATTTTCAATGCACCTGTATGTTATCTACTTAGTCCCTTAAAAAGGTTCGCATCTTAGATCCAATCGCGACCATTTTATCTATTGACAATAGCCACAATAAATACCGCTCATGCTCAAATCTGATTGGTTGGTTAGATATCCCTATTCTGGCTTTCTGATGCCTCTCTTTTGTTCGAGAGTTATCAAGTTACTTTAAAGATCAAATATTTTCTTCACTTTTCAATTCACTTTGCTCCCTCTTTTCACGAATTAGTGTCGGAAAAAGGTTTAGATTCTGATACTCAAGTCTCTTTTCTCTCTATTCCTTCATTTTTCCAGAATCGTGCCTTTTATTCACCAGAAGCAGCCCATCTGTAAAGAGACATCTGGTGCCGAATTTTCGTCGATTGCAAGCGTTATTTCCCGTTCATGTGTCATAACAAATTACCCTAAGTAATCCCTCGTTTCATGGAGAAAGATTTAGGCTCCATATTAACTCCAACTGACATGTATGACTGACGGATTAATGAAAACACTTTGTGTATTCGGTTTGGACAATGCCTTTTTAGCATTTCATTTAAATAATTTTTATTTTTTGCTTTGAAAAATTAATGTATTGTACATACGGCTGTGATGATTTAGAGAAGAGGGCAGATCATGAAACCCATAATATTTCTTAGCATATTTGCTCTGTCGATGACTATCGCCAAGCCAGCTGCCTAAAAACCATTTGCTGAACAAGCTTTCTATAGTGATTGGTTCAAACAAACAATGCTTTGAACGTGAAGATATTGATATATATATTTATATATTCATATATATGTGCAGTCGACGTTATGGCCTAATTATTATAGTTAAAAAAAAATCACTGTTTTAGTTAATATTTTTCTGGTTGTTTGGTTCATTTGGATGTCACTAAGTTTCAAAGACAATCTGTTTTTTTGTTGTTGTTGTTGTTTTTTTTTTATTGTTGACGTAAATTCTACTTGTTGGGAATTTAATACACCCAACCTTTTGCGAAAATGGAAATTCCCCAAATCATTAAGTAAAAACGTAAATTGAAGGTTTGATTCAATCTTCCAAAAGCAACACATTCGCCAACGCACACATAATTGGTAATATAATAATTGCCTCATCTAGCCAATCACGCCATGATTTCATATGATCAGTCATGCATCTAATACATCACATTGGACCTAAATAACTAATCTTTTGATGTGGAGGTAATTTGATAATAGCGCCAGTATATCTTGGGATATATTTGTATTCCAATAACACGTTGATATCAGTGCACTCTTTAAACTCCTAGTATTACATACTGCTGATGTACACACTGCCCGAGAATGAACAGCTTCAAACAATTACATTCTTGTAAGAAGTTGGGTCACGAGATGATATGAACCGTCTTGGCTTACTCAATCAAAGGCTTGAAAACCGGTGCACAGCTATAAGGAAGGAAATTCTTTTTAGTAGACCAGATGTTCCCGGATATTTTGTTCAAGTGTAAGAAAGTGAGCAGCGCGCTAGCTTTTGTAGTGAGAAAGATATATATATCGACCTGATGGAAAATCCGTTCCAGAGCTAAAATCGACGAAAGAGATGACGATACACCAACCAACTTGACCAGGGGTAAGTTGGTGTAAATTATTGAGGTACTGATTTGTGTAAGGTAAGTATGTCTATGTGATTCTGATTAGGTGTTTAAGTGGTCGATATGGTGTCCATGGGTTGGTATTGCAGCGGCATGCACCTGCCAATCATACACTTGGTCCCGACACCTTGTGAYGGTGATGGTTCAGACGGTGCAAAGCCCGACGACGATGTTTGTGCGCATCAGGAGAATTACCCCACAAATTACCGATTGTTGTCAAGGGTTTTATTGCCTACTGGAAATTAATTGAGTGACGTTTGTCCAATCAGCAAGCACCATCTCGTGAGAAGTATGTATGTCATTAACGCGACCACAACACCTGCACACAAACCGGTTTAACCGGTTTGACCACATACCCGGATGTATAGGTTATTACGTCATCTTCCTTACAGTAAGCAGCTGGTTGCTAGGGTAACCAGCGCATCTGATAGCCCTACGAGGGTTTTGATTGGTTAAGGGTAATGATGATTGACATCCTGTCTATTTCAGCATAGAGCTGTTTGAGAAGGCGACTTTTGTGTGCACACGTCTATCAGAGGGTAGTGGCGTTTGATTTCACATTCCCGCCCCTGTGCCTTTTACTAAAAAAATCAGGAAAGTGTTTTCGTTTTGACAGAGCCAACCATTTCGAAACTTGGCCATTATTCTTTAGCATAAAGTCCCAAGAGGGTCCTGAGCAGGAAAAAAGGAGAAATTACTGTAACAAGAGGCTGAACGTAAGGGATATTCGTCGTTCAATGGCCGACATTAACCGCCATTATTGTGTCGTTGTCCTTGTTGCAATCACATGGTCGGCTGAATGAAAGAGAACCGTTCTCAGTTGATTTATTTCTCTCACTACTCTCATTCATACAGGCACTGTGTAGAGGAACCAACTATGACGGGAAGACTTGGCTCTTAATATACAACGATTTGGGAGCGAGGACTTCACTCCAGCCAGACAAAATAAACTTTTTTTTCCCGATCGCTGCACACAAATTAATACAAGCCTCGCTTCGAAACCGGAACGATTGGAGAGTTTGGATTCCAATTTACGTCTCCTACGAAGTAAACGTCTAGGAATTCGACTTATATTAAGGTATTTGTAGCATTAGGAATGCCTTCGTAACGTTATTTTTACTCTGGCGTTGGAGTTTGATACGAAACATGGCAATCATTGTCGAAACGTTAGCGTCGGCCATGTTGTCTGTACACCTCGCGTGTATTCGCGCCATTTAATCTTATCGCGAGTATTAAACCATCCTATGCTCTCTCTTTTGACTTCCACTAGGTAAAATTGTGTTTTTCCTTCGTTATTAGAAGGCTGGAGGCCTATAAGTAGTGAGTGTAGCTTGATCTTTGGGATTTGTTTCTGTCTGGATAGCTGTCAGCGCTCGGCGGAAACTCGCCGGCGATTATATTGGCAGCGATCACTTTTAGAATATTCTAATGAAGGCTTCGATTATGCAAAGTTTCCACGTCTTTTTGTTCCAGATTCATTGAGTTGTTTTGACAAATGATTATGGTTTTCAATCTCTACAGAAAATGGACTCCGAAGCTGTCCCTAAAAGCCCTAAACGTGCTAAGGTTTCGGATGAAGAAAGTGAAGAATCCACTATCGAGAACCTAAATTCACGCAATACAGAGTCGAGTGGGACTTCCGCAGATTCGACGACTCCAGACTCCGAACCAGAACAAAAACCGTAAGTATTAATTTACGACTCATATGGATCGGTTTTCTGAATAATATCAATGGTAAACCATAGGGCGATGTTAAGTACAAGGTGTAGAAGCGAAAAGAAAGAATAAACTATTAGTGGAGTGTTACATTTATGAACTTGTTTCGACGTGTAAAAAAGGATTATGCACCGCGAAACTTGTAGTACTCGTAACCCGTCGACAAATAATGGCGATCAATTTTTCATGCTTTCTATATAATACTCATGATAAACATTGATTAAGAAAAATAGTCAAAATACTTTTCCTTTTTTCATTGGTGGTTGTTTTTTTAAGATATTTGAGGGAAAATTGTATTTTATTTTAATTTTTTAGCTGTCACGTTAGCACGATTTTATTTGGTTTTTCTTCGACACAGTTAATATTTTAACTTGACCTCCAGCCCTTCGAATTATGAATAGATTGCTTTTCTCTTACATTTTATTGCAAGATGATTAGCTTTTTAAGCTCAATATCAAAGACATAAGAGAATTGTAAAAAAAGAATATAAAAAGAAAAATTTGTGTTCCACTTTTGTCCTCAATTTTAATCATTTTTTACACTGTTAAATTTTTTGATATCCCAGACTTCAATATTAAGTAACTACACTACAGTTTTCTAAGAATATGCTGTTCACATGTTTGTGGTCTATAGCATATATGTATTTTCTTGATATCTAAGATAAAGTGGTATGATTATAAATTTGTAGAAGAATTGAATTATATAGACAAGTCATCTTTAAATTTCTAGTACAGAGTAATATGTACTTCTACATATAAACTTATACATGGGCTACAGATTTGAAGAGAAATGGTGCTCCAATCATGAGGCAATGCATTGACTATGTGTGTCCATTTCTTAGGTTTTATTTAAAATATATTTTATCAGTAGAATCAGCATAGTTATTAGCTAGATATCTGTGTCAATCTCTTTTAGTTGGTATTTGGTTGAGCTTGAAAGTTGATCTTCTAACAATTTGGTATGGGTCGAAGCATCAAACTATATCCAATATGCACTTGTATATGTAACCAGAGGACTTCATATGGTGATCTTATGATATTTCAGAAGTTATGTAATGGTATCTTGGTATGGGTCGAAGCATCAAACTATATCCAATATGCACTTGTATATGTAACCAGAGTCATGGTGATTTTATGATATTTCAAAATTTATGTAATGGTATCTTGGTATGGGTCAAAGCATCAAACTATTACCATTATGCACTTGTATATGTAACCAGAGTCATATGGTGATTTTATGATATTTCAAAATTTATGTAATGGTATCTTGGTATGGTACTATGGGT